GAGGCCTCCTGCCAGAAGTGGTTCCACCGAGAGTGCACGGGGATGACCGAGAATGCCTATGGGCTGCTCACCACGGAGGCCTCTGCCGTCTGGGCCTGTGACTTCTGCCTCAAGACGAAGGAGATCCAGTCGGTCTACATCCGGGAGGGCATGGGACAGCTGGTGACCGCCAACGACGGCTGAGCCACCGTTCAGCCGCCTTGTACAGCTTTCCCCCACCGATTTAGGACCAAACACCCATTTTTTGTAGCTGTCGCCCCCCCCGCCAGCCAGAGAGCCACTGCCATGCGCTGGCTGTGGCTGCTCACTGGGCACTGCCTGGCACCAGGACCTACCAGGGGACCCGGGACGGTGCTGGCCATGCCGGTGTCACGCCTTCACTATGGGCAAGGCTCTGACTCCGGTGCACCGGCTCGGTGAGGGCTGAGCCTTCCTGGTGCATCACAGCGCTGCCCCCAGTTCGGTTATTACCCTTGCAGGGGCCATCTCCGGGACTGTGCAGCGCTCCTGGTGTCCCCTTCCACATTGACGGGGCAGTCCCGCTGCCCCCTGCTCCGGTGCTGGGGACGGTCCCGGTACCCGCTCCCCACCCCAGGTCCGTCCGTTTTAGCCAGTCGTTGATGGAAATTTTTGTACCGTCGTTATAAAACTGTTAAATCGCGTGTCGGTGTGTGTGCGCGGCTGTCGGTGTGTGTTTGGCACCGGGTGGGGCGGGGGGCGCCGCTCGGTACCGGCGGGGCCGCGCCCGCTGTCCCCGCCCCCTCGCGCCGCGGGCTGCGATTGGCTGCGCGCGTCACGTGCGCGCCCCGGCCCGGGGCGGCGGCGGCCCCGCGGAAAGTTCCCGGCCGGACGCGGCGGGCGCAGGTACCGGCACGGCGGAGCCGCCGCTGCAGGCCCGGACGGCCCGGGACGGCGCGGGGGCGCGGGCGCTGCTCGGGGAGCCCCTGGGAAGCGGAGAGGAGCGGGTTGTCAGCGGCGGGGCCGTCACCCCCGGGCTGGTTCTGGGTCTCAGACGGGGGTGGGGGGAAAAGAGCGGGGCGGGAGCTGCCCCGTCCGGTGCTGCCGCTTTGCTGTGGGGCGGTGGGATCCCGACCGGGGCCCCTGGTTCCCCCACGCCAGGCCACGAGTCACCCGTCCACCTGCTGGGTCGCATCACCGGCTAAAAATACCCCGCGGCGGCAGCTGGTGTCAGTGGGGGTGCACCGGGACTCCCTGAAAGCCTCCCAGCTACAGGCTGCAGGGACTGGCTGGCACCGGCACCATGGCTCTCCCGGTCACATCAGCTGGTACTGGGAGCTGGGTCATGTCCCGCTGTCCGTGCGTCCGTCCGTCTGTCCCCTTGCAGGTAGCACTGGACTGTCCCTATGGCGGAGAAACTGGATCCCCGAGATTCAGAGAGCAGCTGGGTGCTGGCGGGCAGTGAGGTGAGGGCTCTCGACCCCCAGAGCAGACCTTCACTGCTTGAGATCTCCAGGGCAACATCCCAGAACTGGGACCCCATGCCTTGGGGCCCTTAGGGCAGCCCCCCAGAGCTGGAGACCCCCAGGCACACCCTACTGTACCAGTGCCTACCCGGGGCTGTAGGCACATGGAGGTCGGGGCTAAAGTTGTGTTCCTGTGTACTCCCTTCCCCTAGGGTCTGCCCATTGACACGGTGGGTCCAGAGCAGGACTCAGCCTCCCGCAGGTCTGACGATGAGGAACCGCAAGAGGAGGATGAAGGCACTCAGGACACAGTCACAGGCAGGCAGCCACCATGGGTATGGGGCAAGCTTGGTGTCACTGTCCTGTGTCACTGTCTCATCCCCATGCTCTGCCTCTCCCCAGCTGTGACCACCAATGGTGCCACTACCTTCCCCAGCCAGACTTTGTGCCCTGAGGGCAGCGGGCAGGGGGTGAGTCAGAACCGGGGGGCTGGGGGTGAGCTGGAACTGGTGGGGTGCTCCCCACACAGGGATACCCCATGTGCCAGTGCCTGTCTGCAGGACCCAGAGGAATGTGAGGACTCCAAGGCAGTGCCTGCTCTGGATGGCTCTGCAGAGCCCAGCGTGTTGGAGGGCGATGAGCAGGAGGAGCTGAAAGCTGAGGCTGAGCCACAACCCTGCCCTGACACCCCTCAAGCAGGTCAGGGGACACCCCCCCTGACAGGGGACTTTCCTGGAGGAATCTGTGCTGGCAGTGTTTAGGTGTAGACCCTCCCTGGAGGTTCCCCCCCCCCTCCATCTTCCCCTAGGGCCAACAACAGAGGATGTGTCCTGCACCAGCAGTGATGATAACATGGAGGGGCTGCGCTGGCGGAAGGGCCACAAGCCCCATCCTGAGCCCCCCACTGTCACACCTGCCTCACACCGGGGGACACCTGATACTGGTGATGATGGGCTTAGTATGAACAAGTACCTGTTCGGTGCCTTGGCATTGGTTGCTGTGGGGCTGCTGATCATCACTGGTAAGTGGGAATCCCAATGGCCGAGACGCCAGGGACAGGGTGGGGTCCAGACATCCCCCCCATTGTCCCCTCCTCTCCCCAGGTGGTATCTACGATGTGGCAGATGGTGAGTAGAGGCAATTGGCCCACCTGGGTAGGGGGACATCCTGCAGCAGCCTGGACGTTCAGACCCATGTCATCTTCCACAGGCCCTGTGGAGAGTGTGGGGAGCTGGGACTTGGCTGCTGGGGAGCAGGAGTCACTGCTGTCCGTAGACAGCAATGTAAGGAGGGGTCTCAAGCAGGGCTGAGTGAGGGCAGAGGGTGTCCTCAATGCCCCCAGGGCTCCCAACCTTCCTGTCCTCCAGGACTCCCAGCAGGAGCCCCCTCTGGCAGATGCTGGGGGCTCACAGAACATGCAGTCCATGAGCCAGCTCCTGGACAAGCTGGCCAAAGAGAACCAGGAGATCCGGCTCATGCAGGCGGAGCTACAGGTTGGTGACCAGTACCACGTCTCTGTGCTGTGCCCCGGTGCTGCTCTCCTGCTGCCACCTCTTTCACAGCCCCCCGCCCCTGCCCCAGGCCCACAAAGAAGATCTGCGGGCACTGCTGCACAAGAGCGAGGGTGAGGCAGCCACGGCCGGGGCGCAGCAGCAGAGTCTGGCCAGAGAAAACGTGCGGCTGCGCGCAGCGCTGGAGCGGGAGGTGACGGCGCTGCGGGAGGCCCAGGCTGAGCTGCAGCGCCTGCAGGCCGCAGGGGCCCCGGGCAGCCGCAGGGAGCCAGCGGCAGAGCAGCCTCGTGCCACAGGCGTGCCGGGGCGTGGCAAGGCCGTGGCACGGTGGCACGGCAGCCTGGATTCGTTGCGGCAGGAGCTGGCAGACACCCTGGACCGTGCGCGGGGCTCTGGGGATCTCAAGGGGCTTGTGGAGGAACTAAGCATCCTGGAGCAGCACCTGGCCCAGGTGCTGGAGGCAGAGGGCTTGGGGTCATTCTCCACAGCCTGGAAGAAGCCATTCAAGGTGGAGAAGGAGAGCGGGTGGCACAAGCAGCATGGCACCAGGGGGTCCCCCCATAAGGAGGAGAGGAGAGAGCATGGCAAACCCCACAAGAAGGATCCCCAACCTCCCCGTGAACACAAGCCAGGCAAATCCTGGGGAAAGCCGTCTCACAGCCACCCCCACCATGATTCCCATGAGGTGCCCTGGCTTAGGCGGTACCGGGCACCACAGGGCTGTTCTGGGGTGACTGACTGTGCCCACAAGGAGGGCCAGGAAGTGCTTGGGGCTGTGCTGGAGCCGGTGCAGAAGGTGCAGTTCCTGCAGCTGCTGGAGAGCTTCATGGGGCAGCTGGGCTTGGGGAGACAATTTGGGAAGCTGGCACCGCAGCTTGATGGGGCCTTCAGAGCTGACGGTGTCTTTGCCCATGACCGCCTGCGATTTGTCGATTTTGTGGATGATGTGGAGGATCTGCTTGAGGATGTGGCATGGCAGGAGTGGGGCAACAAGAAGGCGGTTGATGGTTTCGAGGAGTACATGCTGCGGCACTACAGTGGGTGAGCTGGGGTGGGCAGTGCCAGGGGTCCCCAAGGATTCCCCTGCTACTGCAGCCCATCACACCTTCCTTTCTCTTGCAGCGCCTCTGGGAACGTGTGGAGCCAGAGAGCCCCAAGGCAGCATGGCACACGTGGGTAGAGCCAGAGGGGCAGTAGTGTGCCAGCACCCCCACACAAGGGCTCCCTACATGCTGTTTATGGGGGTCTGGGAGTGACCATCACACCCTGTAGGGCCAAGTAGGGCCACATCCCCAACCAAATGTACTGTGTGATACTGCACTGCCACCATGAATAAAATCACTGCTGGGCAGAGATGTGTAGATGTGGGGAAATGGGGGTGGGGGGAAGGGAGGGTGCTTAGGGAGGAGGGCTGGAGAAATGGGGGTTCAGAGGAGGAATAGGGAGTGTAAGGGGAGAGGAGGGGGGACTGAAGTGCTGTGGGCAAAGAAGGTGCTGTGAAAGGGAAGGAAGGAGTGCAGGGAGGAGGAAGGGCTGCTGGGACAGAGGGGGTGCAGATGAAAAGGCAGGGGAAGGGGGTTGCTGGGGGAGAACAAAGGGTATTGGGGATGCTGGGGAGAAATGGGGATTTAGAGAAGGAACGGTGAAAAGGAAAGGGGAGTGCTGGAGGAAGTGAGGGGCAGGTGAAAAAGTGAGGTGCAGATGGTGCATAGGGATGTTGAGGAGGAAGGGTGCTCGGAGAGAAAAGAGGGTACTGGGGGAAATGGATGCTGGGAGAAAGCAGGGTGCAGAAGAGTAGGGATTGTTGGGGAAGAGTGCTGGGGAAATGCAGATGCTGGGAGGAGCAGGGTGCGGGTGAAAGGGAGCGTCAGAGGAGGATGGAGGGTGTGAGGAGGCAATGGGGGCAGGGGGCAGAGGAGTGCGGGCTACCGGGCAGGACCCGCCATGTCCCCGGGCAGCCTCGCTGCGCTGCGGGCTCCGCCCGGCAGGGGGCGCCGCGGGGCGGGGGTTGGGGCGGGGCGGGGCTGGGCCGGGGCGGGGGCTGGGGCGGGGCGGGGCTGGGGCGGGGCCGGGGCGGGGCCGGGCGCCGATGGCGGCGCCGCGCGCGGTGCTGCTGCTGAGCGGGAAGAGGAAATCGGGGAAGGATTTCGTGGCCGAGGAGCTGCGGAGCCGGTACCGGGCGGGGCGGGACCGGGGCCAGCCGTGTTGGCGGGGAAGGCACCGGGTGCAGGGATGGTGCCAGAGGACAGGGAGGCCGGGACTTGGCCGAGTGGAGCCGGTGGCAGTATCCGTCCCGCGAACCTCTCTCCCGCAGGCTGGGCCCTGATGTCTGCACCATCCTGCGCCTCTCCGGGCCCCTCAAGGAGCAGTACGCCAAGGTACCGAGCCGTGTCACGCCCCGCTGAGCTGTGCCAGGACACTCCTGTGCCGTGCTGTGCCGTCCCACGCTCGCCCCGTGCCACACCATGACATACAGTGCCACACCATCCTGAGCCGTGCCGGGACACTGCCGTGTTCTACCGCGTGCTGTGCCGTCCCACGCTCGCACCGTGTCACACCGAGCCGTGCCGTGCCACACTGAGTTGTGCCAGGGCATGTGCTTTGCTGTCCTCTCTTCCCATGCTCATGCCGTACTACACCGCGCCACGCAGTGCTGAGCTGCTGCACCGTGCTGTGCCATCTGATGCTTTGCCATGCTGTGCTGAGCTGTGCCATACTGCACCACACCAAGCCATGTCAGGACATGCTGTGCCAAGTTGTGCCATGCCATGATCATGCTGTACCACATCATGCCAAGCTGTTGCGTGCTGTGCTGCGCTGTGCTGAGCCATCCCATCCCACCGTGCTGTGCTGAGGCGTGGCGTGTCACAGCAGCCATGGCTGTGCCACGCCACACTCCTTGGCCCGGACCATGCCTACTGAACCCCCTTCCCCACAGGAGCATGGTCTCGACTTTCAGCGACTCCTGGATGCCAGCGCCTACAAGGAGGGGTTCCGTCAGGACATGATCCGCTGGGGCGAGGAGAAGCGCCACGCCGACCCCGGCTTCTTCTGCCGGGCAGCAGTGCAGGGGGCGCAGCAGCCGGTGTGGGTGAGCTTTGGGGAGCGCACGGGGGCACTGGGGCACAGGACGGGTGCTGATGGAGCCCTGCGCAGGTGGTGAGTGACACACGGCGCCTCTCAGATGTGGAGTGGTTCCGGGCCGCCTACGGGGATGTGGTGCAGACCGTGCGGGTGGTGGCTACTGAGGAGACAAGGAAGAGGAGGAACTGGGTCTTTGTCACTGGTGAGCAAGTGAGGGGCACTTCGCCTAGTGTGACTGCGACACCAAAACTGGGGTTGCCCAATGGGCACGGGTCTGCTGCCTCCACTACCCTTCCTTGGCAGTGGGAGCAAGAGGCTTTGGATCAAGGCCCCTGCCTCCGGGGGGTGAGGCCATGGTGAGGGTACAGACAGACAGATCCTGACCATCCCTGGGGCCTCCCCGGGCTCTGTGCTACCAGGGGTGGACGACGCTGAATCTGAGTGCGGCCTGGACCAGGGAGTGGCCTTTGATTGGGTGATCACCAATGACGGGGATAAGGTGGCCCTGGATGAGCAGCTGGAGATGCTGGTGCAGGCTCTCCACAGCAGCCTCTAGTTCCATGTCTCTCCACTGGGGCTTGGGGACTGCATCATCCCTCCCTTCCCCCCAGCCCCTCAGCATGTCCCCCTCCACCTCCTGCTGATGATGCTTCCTGTTCTGGAATAAAGCTCTGACACTGAGAACCGCTGCCACGCTGGGCCTGTATCTCATTTCTGGGGATGGGACACACAGGTGATCCTGCCCCACCCCCACCGTGGGTTTCCCAGCTTCTGGGAGGCAGAAGTGCAGTTCTGTCCAAGCAGGGGGCCACCAGCTGGATGTTTCATGGTGTCTTTTAATAAGGTTTCTAGCAGCCAATTCCCTATGGATTATCTGCTGCCCAAACTCATACACTCATATCTGCTCCCTCCTGGAACAGCTGGGCACGGCAGGGTGTGGGAGTGGTGGTTCCTGGGTGGGCTGGGGGTTTTGAGGGGGGATTAGGGCCCTATATAAATCTATATGTATATATCCCATACTCCGGGTCTACCATTACCCTGACCCCAACCTTGGGGATGCTGTGAGACACACACACCACGCCTACCATCCACAGGGTGACCCCCCCTAGGATGGGAACACCGGCTCCAGCTGCTGCTCGTAGTCTCCAGCCTCCATAAACGGATCAAGGGGGATCATATGAAAGGAGGGGGGATGCCCGTGGGGGAACCCAATGGGTTAAACAAAGGAGGGGTCGCTCGGGACGTGTCCATCGGGGCGCGCGGGCACTGGCGCCTGGTGCAACCCGGTGCACTACAAGTCCCGAACGACCCCGCAGAGATGCGGGAGCCGGGGGTGTGATTGGGGGGGAGATACAAAGCGGGGAGCGGGCGGGGATGATGTCAGCCTGCGGGGAGCCCCAGCGTGGCCAATGGCGCTGCGGGGCCGGGCCAGCGGCAGCGGCGGGGGCGGTGGCGGCGGCGGTAGCGGCGAGAGCACGGAGCCCATTCATGATCCAGCGAACGGGGCCGGTGGCAAGTAAAGCGGAACCGGTGCCCTGTAAAGCGGCGCCGGTACCGCCGTCATGGAGACATCGGGGCATCTCCACGATTCGGGCGTGGGGGACTTGGAGGAGGATGGTCGGTGTCCCTGCCCGTTACCGGGGGATGAACGGTCACCGCCGCCGCCCTCCGCGCTGCCGCCGCTCCAGCACAGCCTGTTGCACTCCTCGCCCGGGTCGTTACGGGCCCCTCCTCCTCCTCCCGCCGCCCCCGCCGCCCTCCACCCTTCCTCCCGCCACGGCAGCCAGCTCAACCTCGGCGGCGACCACCCAGCGGGCTCTGGGGTGGCTAGCAGCAAACACCGGCAGCCCAGCCCTTTGGTTCACCGGCGGGACAGCAACCCCTTCACCGAGATTGCCATGAGCTCCTGCAAGTACAGCGGGGGGGTGATGAAGCCCCTCAGCCGACTCAGCGCATCCCGACGGAACCTCATCGAGGCCGAGCCGGAGGCACAACCCCTGCAGCTCTTTGGTGCCGGTGAACCCCCTGAAATTGTTGTCTCACGCGAGGACAACCATGCGCCCACCACCCACCGTCCCACCCGCACGCCCGCCCGCCCGGCCCCCACCACTTTTGCCAAGGGGCCCAAGCGCAAGGCACAGAACATTGGCTATCGGCTCGGGCACCGCCGGGCACTGTTCGAGAAGAGGAAGCGCCTCAGTGACTACGCGCTCATCTTCGGCATGTTTGGCATTGTCGTCATGGTCATTGAGACTGAGCTCTCCTGGGGGCTCTACTCCAAGGTACCGGCGGGGCCAGGGGGGTGTGTGCGGGGCTGGTGGGGCGAACACGGAGCCATTTGCCCCATCTATCCCATGGGATAAATATGGAGCTGTCTGGCCCATCTGGAGAGGAACAGGGTCAGACAGGCTGGCTGGTGACTGACAGGATGTTCCCAGAGCTTTAGTGGATGCTGCAGCCACAGGTGTTGGACAGGGTGATCACCCGGCGGGAGGTGCGGGGGCTTTGTGCTGGTGGCTGCTCTGTCGAGTCCTGCCCCGGGCACCTGCAGCAGCAGACACCGACCCACTGAGGTTTGTGGTGCCTGTTGCTGGCATGGCAGTGCACTCCTCAAAAGCACTGTGCCCCCGGCCGTGCAGCGAAGCACCCCCTCCCTCCTCCGCCTCCTCCTCCACACCCCTTCCTGCCTTTTTTTTTTTTTTTTTTTTTTTTTTTTTTTTTTTTTTTTTTTTTTTTTTTTTTTTTTTTTTTTTCTCCCCCCCACGTCCCTTCCAGCTCCTGCTCCAGGGCTGCACTGGTTGGCAGCGATATGAATAACTCTTTGTATAGACATCTGTCATGTTATTTATACTTATCCAGAGAGGGGAAGGCATCGGCACCCCCACCAGCACCCATGGGCGTCAGCGGGCCGGCGCTGCTGGGGGGGCTGGGGTGCAGCCAGCGGGGTCCCCGTGCCGTGGTGCTGCCCGTGGAGGGGAAGGAGCAGGGTGGGAAGGGGCTGCTCACCATTTCTGCCATTACCCGGCATGGGCAGTGGGGAGGCCAGTGTGAGCAGAGGCGGTGGAGGAGGGGACGCATGTCGCTGGAGGTCCCGTGGTTTGGGGGATCCTGCTGCCTCCCCACCGAGGTGTCTGGCTGGGGGGTTCCTGAGCCCCATCTTTCCACGGCTGCCAGGGTCAGTGGTCATGTGGGGCTGCGGGCGGCAGTTCCACTGCTCTGTCTGAGGCAGAGGCATGCCTTGGAGCCAAGCTGGCATCCTTGCCAAGAAAGATGCTTTAATGCCAGAGCTTTTTCTGGTGGTTCCCACTCCCCTTTGCCAGGAGCAAAGCCAAACCACCATCCCCCACCTGCATCTGCTACCTGTTGAGTTGCAGCCACCCTCGCAGGCTCCGTGTGCCTGCATGCTTGGCGCCAGGGGGACTGTCCACCCTTACCAAGCTGCCAGCAGAATGCTGCCGCGCTCGCTGGCCCCACCACGCTGAGCTGCTGTGTCAGCTGGGGAAGACCCCGTGAGTCAGCGCTGCTGCCATGCAGCAGCTGTGACACGCTGCTGCGCCCCTGCCCCTCTGTGACACAAACAATTGTGCTGACAGCCACAGGGTGCGGGAGAGTCCCTGGCTCCGGCCTCTGTAGGCCCTTGGCCAGATTTACAGCAGCTGTGCATAAATCCCCCCCACCCCCCCCAGCAGCCCCCGGTGAGAAACCAGAACTCACCGGCAGGGACGTGCCCGAGTGTGGGAGTGCCTGCGATCAGGGCTGGCTGCCACTGTGCAGATGGGGACGTCAGCGCAGCTCCAGCCCTGCCCCGTGGCCCCAGCCATGCCACCCCATGCTGCCAGCCAGACGGTGCCAAGGCTGAGCTGGGAGGCAAGGACACGCTGGCCAGGGTTTGCCTTGCCTGCTTCCTGCCTGTCAATTGACTGTGGGCAGGACAGGGCCTCTCCTGCCCACAGGACAATACTGCTGCTTCCCACCACCTGTGCAGCACCAGCAGACTGAAGCATTTTGCCATGCATGTGGGGGAGCAGGACATGTGCCAGGGGTGCCAAGATCCTTCCCCACTTTGGCCCAGACCCCATGTTGCTTGCTGCGAGCATGGGATCCAGGAACAGCTCGTCCTGACAGGTCTCTTCAGGCAGGAGGCATTGGTACACACTGTGTGACACTTGCCAGGTGGGCCAGTGGGTGCCCCGTGCAGGGTTTGTGCCTCTGAGAAGGGCCTGGCCAGAGCCACCTTGGCACAATGCTGCCCGGAGTTTGCCTGTTAATAGTAGTGTTTAGTCACAGCACTTTTCTTAGCACCAGCCATTATATCCACACAATTGCACAGCCAGAGCCAAGTCGTTAACAATGCGGTGCCGCCTCCACAGCAAATAGTCCCTTCTCTTCGTGCAAACAGCCTGTGGGGATGAGGAGCACGGGGAAGAGGGAGCCAAGCAAGGCCAAAGCCAGCCCAGCACACGGAGAAGCCAAGGATAAGATGCCATGAGTATGCTGGGTCCTAGCATGCCAGGACTGTGCCAGGCCTCACCACGCTGGGCATGGCATGGAGCTGTGGGACGGGTGGTAAGGTGGCTTGGTTTGGGAACAGCATCCTGTGAAGGGCTGCCAATGGCCAAGCATCAGTGGGGCTGGGCTGTGGCTGGCACACACATGAGTTTACCAGCATCCAAAGGGAACAGTGGATCCTGCTTTTCCCAGCAGGGACCCACCAATTCAGCCATCAGTGAATTAGGGGTTGGTTTAATTTACATAAGACTAATTAGCTGGAGGGTCTAGTGAGATCTTCTGTGTGGATACCATAATCCTGGGCTCAGGCTAGATGGGGCCAGGCCACTGGCATTGCACATCTCATAGGGGAGGTTGGGAACTGCACTCAGCAGAACAGAATTAAAAGAGTTTTAAATTCTTTTTGCTGGTGGTAGCAGTGGTGCCAGTGATGCTGATGGTTCTGATGCTGCCCTTACTACTGTGTCAAGCTGCTTAGGGGGGAAGCTGAAGCAGCAAAAGTGCCATTGAGGATGGGGATAGCAGGGGTTGAGGGTCAGTATTTTCTTTGGGGTGTGGAGTCCAGTGCCAGCAGACTCCCACAGCTGTGTGCCCCTTAATGCCTTCCCTGCTTTCACCCTGCAGGACTCCATGTTCTCCCTGGCCCTGAAATGCCTTATAAGCCTCTCCACCATCATCCTGCTGGGCCTCATCATCGCCTATCACACACGGGAGGTGCAGGTAGGTCCTGGCACCATCAGTGCCTAGCGAGGGGCTGCTGGGGTGGGCTGTGGGGTTTGCCAACCACCTGAGTGGGACACAGCACCTGAGCCAACATCCTGCCCCATCCTGGAGCCTCCTTCCTCTTTGTCAGGGTCTTGAGGGGCAGCGAGAGTTCTTGGGGAGCAGTTCTTGGTCTGTCTGAGCCCCAGGTGCCGGGCAGATATGCTGGTGGCTTGGGGAGACTACAGGCAGGAAGGGCTTAAGGCAGTCCAAGTGCCAAGGAAAGCCATGAAATCCTTTCCTAATCAGGGCTCCACACTCTCTTCCTCCCTGGGAAGTTAAAGGACTCCCAGTTTGTTCCAGGAAGGCTTTGCTTCCCTGTGCAGCGTAGCTTCGGCACAACGCCAGCCTGTTTAGGGCCTGGGAGGAATGAATCACCAGTCAGGAGAAGGAGCATCCTGGGAAGGGGTGTCAAAGCCCCTGGCCCTGAGTGCACCATAATCCCACCTTGTCCCTCCTGGGGCTGGGGGACAGAGGTGCTTTACCATGTAGGGGCTGGCAGCAGCATCCCACTCCATGCCTGCCTCAGTCCCCACTCCAGCCCAGGCTGTCCTCATGGGGATCAAGCCTGGGGGTGAGCTACTCAGTACAAATATTTGAGAGCTCTGCTTCTTGCTGGAATAATATTTACCCCAGGATGACGGTGGCTGGGGTCAGCAGGGTGAGCTGTGCCCTTGGTGCTCGCTGTTTCCTCTGCTTGTTTTTCCTGGCAGTGGGTTGTGCAAACACAACATCCACCCAGGCAGCACACAGGTCATCCTACCTCTCCTGCCTTGACCAGAGCCAAAGTCCCACTGCTGTCCCTCTACATGTGGGGACTGAACCTCACCATGATCCCAGCTGCTCTGCCAGGCCAGTTACACTGTCAAGACAGGGAATTAGATGTGTTTGACATCTAATTCCACAACTCAAAGTCGTGCTGGTTGTTCATTGCCCTGTGTGTTATAAAGTGTTATAAAGAAATTGCTGATAATCCAATAAAAATTGAATGAGGCTGCCAGAGCTGTAAGTCCTCAACTTCTTGTACCTCCTGGCCAAGGTGGGGGACTGTGCTCATCTGGCCGTGGCACTTGTCAGACCTCCCAGCCTCTGGGAAACAGTGACTTCAGCCTCTTCCCTCAGGATTCCCTGTTCCTCTCTTGCCCAGAGAAGCTGTGGCTGCCTCATCACTGAAAGTATTCAAGGCCAGGTTGAATGGAGTTTGGAGCAACCTGGGATAGTGGAAGGTGTCCCTGCCCATGACAGTGGGTGGAATGAGATGAGCTTTAAGGTCCTGTTCAACCCAAACCAGTCTGTGATTCTATCATCCTACTACTTGTGTTAATGAGTCCTTTAAAGGTCTTCCTGTGCCTCAGTTTCTCTGGGGCTGAGGCATCACCCGGCACCCCAATGATGCCTCTGGTGCCTAGGACAGAACATGCCATCCTCTGCCAGCACCACGTTATCACCACAACACGTGAAGGAGAGCAGTGCTGGCAGTGCTGCCAACTCCTGCCAAGGTGTTGTGGAGAGGCAGAGACCCCTCGTCCCTGTGCTTGGAGTGCCTGGAGCTGTTTAGGCTATTGGTGAAACTTTAGTCCTCATGAGGTGTCTTGGTAGCTTTTCTTGGGCTTTGTTTTTCCGGAGATGTGGTGGCCAACACTCTTGTTCCTTCCCCTGCTGGAGCCAGTGATGCTGGATGTGTTGGGAAATGCCCCCTTGGGTACCACTGAAACACACTTGGTTTCCATGGAAACCCACATTGATGCTTTACAGGTACAGAACTGAGAGGGGCTGGCTCAGGGGAATCCTGCCCAAATCTTGCTCCTTCCCTTCCCTGGCCTATGGCAACTCCCCATCATACAGTCAAAAGGCTCCTGCCTTTTTCCGCTTGCTAATTTGTTTATTTTAGCACCCTTTTCCAGGAAGGAATAGGCTGTCAGCTTGCTAAATGCCTGAGGATCTCCCTTGACAGCTTGGAGCATTTTTGTAAACAACTTCTCAAACAAAGCATCTAAAAGGAGCAGAGTTTTCCTTACAGAAAGGGAGGTGGCTGGGACAGCCACTCCGTGAGTCAGTGCCAGTGGCTCCTGCCATCCCCAGGGAGAGCCCCAAATGCCATGCCATGCCGTGCTAGCAAGGCGGCTGGCACAGGTGTGCTGGGGCCTCTGGCAGGGCAGGAGGATTGTTCCTGGGCTCAGGACCAGCTGGGGCCATGCTCCCTACCCACCTCTCCTCCGCTGCCCAGGCTGTGTGCAGCGCTGGGTCTGTGAGCAAGCCAGCATCGCTTCACACTTGCAGGATTGAGCACGGACGGTAGCACCAGCTGCCACATCCCCCTTGGATCCCTTCCCGGTGGTTTCTTTGCCAAGTGCTGCTTGCAGAGAGGCCCTGAACATGTCCCTTCTGCTGTGGGTGATACTGGTGTCCCTGTCACACCAGGGTGAAGCCCATGACAGCCCTGCTGAGGCAGGACAGGGTGGGTGACTCCCAGGGCTCTGGTGGCATCCCAGAGAGACCAACTGAGCTGCCATCTCTCCAGCTCCTGCAGAGACCCCCAACTCCATCACTGATGATGGGAGAGGAGCTGCTGTACCCAGGATGAACCATCAGTTGCCATGACAACTGAATCCCATCTCCGCCAGCAGCTGGATGCTCTGACTGTGGTGTTCGCTGCCCAGATACTGCCCTGGCACTCAGGGTGTGATGACTGTCAGTGAAAGCAGTGCAACACCATGAGCAGAGGGACTGGGGTGACTCATGCTGGTGCTCTGTGGCACCACGGCTTGCCCATTTCTGTGGCCTGGATGAGGGGGACATTCTGGGAGGTGGGCTCCTGCCAGCCAGATTTTGAGTGAGCTGTCCCCATGCTATGCCTGGGTGTGTGCTCAAGCCTAGGCACCTCAAAGCTTTTGGTGTCCCCTGCAACACGGCCATCCTGACACACACTAGCAGAGCAGTTGGTGGTGACATTCCCATGTTTTTCTTCTCCCTCCATCCCCAGTGCTTCTAGCTGAGCCACACCCAGCTCCTCTTAGCTCTGACCCCCACTGCCTGTGGAGGGAGGGATGCCAGTGGGCAGCTTGTGTGGGGCCACTGGTAACTGCATGGTTTTGCATCCTGGCAGCTCTTTGTGATCGACAACGGAGCTGACGACTGGCGGATAGCGATGACGTATGAGCGCATCCTTTACATCAGCCTGGAGATGCTGGTTTGTGCCATACACCCCATCCCTGGGGAGTACAAATTTTTCTGGACAGCTCGCCTGGCTTTCTCCTACACACCATCTCGGGCAGAGGCTGATGTGGACATCATCCTGTCTATCCCCATGTTCCTGCGCCTCTACCTGATTGCTCGGGTGATGCTGCTGCACAGCAAGCTCTTCACTGACGCCTCCTCACGCAGCATTGGGGCACTCAACAAGATTAACTTCAACACCCGCTTCGTCATGAAGACACTCATGACTATCTGCCCTGGGACCGTGCTGCTGGTCTTCAGCATTTCCCTCTGGATCATCGCTGCATGGACAGTCCGTGTGTGTGAGAGGTGAGAGGGTTGGGGATGCGTGGTGCTTTGGGATTCTCAGTGTTTGGAATGAGCGGTGGTTTGGGTTCGCGGCAGTCCAGGATGCTCAACACTTGGGAACGCCTGGTGGTTTTGGATGCTCAGCTGTTAAGGACACACATAGGTTCAGGATGCATGGAGGTTTGGCATGCTCAGTGGTTCAGGACGCAAGCAGGACGAGCAGCAGTTTGGGATGTGTGGAGGTTTGGAACGCTCCATGGTTCAGGATGTTCAGCAGTTCAGGAATGCATGATGATGTGCAGTGGCTCTGGAAGCTCAGCAGTTTGTGGTTTGGGATTCATGGCAGTTTGGAATTCTCAGTGGAGATGCAATGTCCCAACACCCTGGAGGAGGGGTGCAGGGCTCTGGGGCCTTAGTGGCTGCAGGTTCCCTCCACTGAGCCCTGCTCTTACCAGATGATAAATTGTCTGCACAGGCAGGAGGCAGAGCAGGGCCAGCCCTGCCCTCACAGCACAGCGCCTAAGCCAGGCAGGGTCCCTGTGCAAGAGGACATGTGTGGTGCCAGAAGCCCCAGGAGTATGGGTGGGGGACAAGGAGAATGGTGGGAGCTGGGGGCTGTGTCTGGGGAGGGGCCAGAGGTGCTGATGGTAAGTGACAGGGCCTGGCTCAGGCTCTAGCATCACTGCAACTGACTGCCATGACAACACTGTGGTGACATACCCACAGCTTGATGGCATCATGCCAGCATCAGCGTGCTCAGCACCAGGGTTGCTGTGGCGACCAGCCTGGTGGGTATCACTGCACCTCCATCTCTCAGGGACCTGCCACCACTCTTTGTCTGCTGAGGGAACCAGGGGGCTGTGGTGGTGGCATCCCAGTGCTGTGCCAGAAGGTTTTATCCACAGGCAGAGTGCAGGCTGCCAGCAGTACCTGGGGAAGGGAGGGCAGGTCCTCTACAAGCTGTCCTGTTGTGGCAGCTTTGAGTCATCTTCGGAATTAAGGTGCGAGGGATCATACCAACTGGCACCCCAGAGTTACCTGGGACACCCAGATTGCTTCTAGATTGCTTTCAAAGTGAGAGGAAGGCCATTCCCCCTCTTCCTCAGGGTGGGGACCCGTTGCTCTGGTCACGCTGCAAAGGAGTATTAGTGCAGCTGTAAGCTCTGTGGCAGTGGCATGGGACGGCACACTGAGATCTTATGAGCTTTTACTGGCTGCATTTGCCTTCCTGCCTCCCTTAATGATGCTCTCCTTATGAGCTGGATGTTCAGGCACTGCCTAATTGTGTTTGAGAAATTGTGGTTTATGCCTCCTAAACAGGGAGCAGGCGGATAGGCACCCAGGACACACACAGGAGGGTAATCCAACACCTGGCGAGGCTTAGCCTGGAAGATGCAAAGAACTATTAGGAACAAAAAACCCCAGAAATTATGCAGATGAAGTACTGCAGATCATTGGCACTGCAGTTGCCATCACCTCCCTCTATGTACAGAGAGGCAGAAGACAACCCAGGTGGGCTGAAGATGCGTCAGTCCTGGGGGATGCAGGACTGGGGGAATGCAGAACCCCTGGGACATGCTCTATGTGTGAGGGATGCAATATCCCTTGTGGATGCACCAGCCCTGGGGGTCACACAGCTCCCACAAGGGCTACCCAGGATGTGTCCCCCTGTCCACACTGTTCACGGGCACCCGAAAACAGTTTGCTGTGGTTTGCAGGACCATTCCCAACCACTGGGCCCAGGCAGTTTCGAGGTGGTGGTGCCTCTCCAAGACATGGTGCTCGGGCTGGGGTGCCACGTCTCCTCGGCACCGAGCTGTGGTCTCAGTGTCTGTGGGGGCAGCAGCATCCTCCCGTGCGCACCTCTCCGAAGGCAGCGAGTCGCTTAGCAACCTCGCCCGCTCGCCGGCCACCGCGCTCCGCCGCCCGCGGTGCTGCGCGCTGCCGGCCCGGCCCGACGGCCGCACGTGCGCCCGCAACGTGGGCCCGTCGTGAGCCGGCCCGGAGACCCGGCCGGGGCCGCCCAGCGCGGTGGGCTCGGCTCAGCCGGTGGTGCTGCCTGGCAGGGCAGTGGGGCGATGCTCACGGCTGCCGCAGCGCTGGGGGTGGCTGTGGTCCTAGCGGGAGCAGGCGGACAAGGGGACGACAGAAAGCGGTGCTGCTCTCTGACCGATTGCAGCAGCCCTCGGTGTGAGCAGGTGGCCCTTTTTTCTGCCCACACCAGGCGTGGAATGTGCCAAACCCTCTGGTTTATCAATCCTTGCTCAAAGTACTACTCAGAAGAGAAAATGTCCCGCTGTCCAATCAGCCTGAAACCCCTTTGTCCAGCATGATGCTCTTGGGGTTGTCCCCTCAGGACATTCCACCCTGTGGGATGAGGTGGGCTCAGCTCTCCCCAGGAAAAGACATTGGACAAGATAATTGTGTGTGCCCCACTGCTGGTGCTGGAATTTTGGGGAGTTCCACTGTGGTTATGGGCTCTAGCTCCCCTGCCCAACCCTGCCCAGAGTGAGCCTCACCATGGCTGAGGGTGCTTTCTCCTGCACTAGGACCTCATTTGAGTCTCCAGCTGAGGTAAAAACATTTCAGAAGAGGAGAAAACCCAACTGCTCTGCAAGTGATGATCTTGGGAGTTGGGATTGCCAAAAGCTCCATCTGTTTTCCCTCTCCGGCTTCTGTGAAGAGGCTGGGAGAAGCCTGCCAGGGAGGCAGGAGAACAACCATCCTGTTCATAGTGGGGTAAAGGCACTGCCTGCCCCTGCCAACTTAGGGCTGAGTCCCGCTGCAGACTGGGCCAGGCCCTGCTGCCAGGGGTCAGCACTACATCCCTGGGGGATCGTACCTGCATGGCATGGCTGTGCTTGCCCAGCGCTGGGGAGCTGAGGCAGCTGGGGCCCCTGGCTGCGTGTTTGCTGGAAGAGCCACAGCCAATATCCTGGACAGCCAAGAGTGGTCGTTGACCTCACATCCCCAGCAGGGACCTGGAAAATTTGCAGCATTCCCAAAGCTGCAGCCATTCCACATGTGCTGTGTCTTGAGTGTGTGAGCTGTTCCTCTGTTCCTGAAAGCCAAGCGCGTGCCAGAGGCTCGACAGGATCCATCCCCAGCAGTTCTGCTGGGGCTGCTGGCAGCTCTGCCTTCTGGAGTGCCACAGCCCAGGCTGCAGCAGCAGTGGGATGCAGGGGAGGATGCCAACGATGAGCTGCTCTGGTCAGGGCCTTTGCAGAGCCACAGTTTGTTCTCCCATCAGCCAATTCTCGCTGCAGCACCGTATGATACCGGGACACACAACAGGACTGGGATGTGGTGACAAGTCTGACTGAAAGCAGAAGCCCTTTCCACTGAGTTTTTGCTCTCATTTTGTCCATGTGGGTTTTCCAGTGCCGGAAATTGTGCAACCGCTGCTACCATGGCACATCCTACTGTGTTGTTAATCCTGTACCCCAGCACAGCCTGAGGTGGGGGAGCCACTGTGCCCAAGTACCCCCATTTCTGCCACATCCATCCTTGTCCCCTGCTGTGACACTGATGTCCCTGTCTCCTTGGCAGGTACCATGACCAGCAAGATGTAACCAGCAACTTCCTGGGTGCTATGTGGCTCATCTCCATCACCTTCCTCTCCATCGGCTATGGGGACATGGTCCCACACACCTACTGTGGGAAGGGAGTCTGCCTGCTCACTGGCATCATGGTAAGGGTCATGCCAAGCTGGTTTCCATTCTGTGGGCTCTGCCTGTCCCCATTGCAGAGGCAGGGCCACTGGAATTTACCAGGGCCTGTTTCTTAGCTGTTTTGTCAATGTACAAGTCCTAATGACTTCAGCTCTGAGGTCTCATAGCCTGGAAGTTGATAGAGTTGTCTCAGCTGATGAATTTGGGGTGGATTTGGACCCGTATTGAGTAATGGTGGAGGGCCTTTGGTGTAGTCAGGGAGCAGAAGGGCACCTGAGCATCCTAGGCCTTCCTGGTCCACACCATCTGGCTTCCATTGCTCATCTGCCATGGGTTCCTTTCCTTCTGGCCAAGAGGTCACCATTCCCCAGTGCCTCCAGTGTATCTGCCCCAAGAAGCCCACCACAAGATCTCCTGGCTTGTGGGACTTTCCAGCCAGGGCTGCTGAAGGAGCAGCTGGAGGCCCTATGGTCACAGCTCCTCCACAGATCTACCCCAGCCATCAGCACCCGGCTCTGCCCAGCTCAGCTCAAGGGCCTTGGGATGGAGCCATCCCTCCTCCCAGCTAGGGCAGATCGAGCTGACACCCCATGAGTACCACCAGCTGGAGAGGCTCCACAACAGGTATTCATCCTGTATTATCTGCAAGCCTTTGATCTGTCTTGGATGAGGTCAGCTGCAGCAAGGCTGGTGTTATGGTGGGAGCCAAGCAAGGGAGAAAATCCTTGTGGATGGGGGTGATGCAGCAACTGCCAGCAGAGGAGCTGCTGGCTCAGCCGAGGGGATTCCAGTGCTGTAGACTCCCAGAACTCTTCCCCAGCCAGTGGTGACCTTGAAGTGAGACACCATCTGTCAAAGTGTCCCCCCACACCCAGTACAGCACCCCCACCCCCGGGAATGGAGAGCCCCACGCCCACTGGGGTTGGAGGCTTTGCTGGGCTTCCCCACTCAGCACCAGAGGTAGTCACTCGTCCAGGAAGAGGTGGTGGCAGTCAAGAGTGTGCAGCAGGAGCTTTGGAGAAGGATTCAGGGTTAATTAATGACTCTCTAAGGAGAGCTTGCCAGGCTGACAGCACTTTGCCAGAGCACCAGGGAGAAGCGACCCAGCTGGTATGAGCAGCAGCAGGCACGGCTCAGGAGCACAGCAGGGAGGCTTTGGAAAGAGCACCTTGGCACAGATGTGCACTGGAGATGGTGGCTGCCACACATGTGTGGCCCTAACTGCTGGATTAAGGGGGTTCCCAGCTGGTGCAGTTGGGAATGTGGCAATTTGAAGGGTCCTGATTTGGGGCCCCTTCTCTCACCCATGCTGCCTGGTGCTTCCCCACTGGTCTCCCAGCCCAGACCTCTCTTGGGAGTGGAGGGTTCCCCATCCCACAGGGCACTGGCACGGGGCAGATCTCTAGCCTGCAGTGGCACAGGCTCACCACTGACCACTGCTGACCTTGTTAATAGCCCTGGCCTCTCCCATTAGTTACAGAGCCCATCATCAGCCACTCAAGGACACCCAGGCTCTGTAAGATCTTCTTGCTAGGATAATGGGGAGGACAGGTAGCTTTAGTTAATTAGTAGATTGCAAGGGTGAGGGTGGGAGTGCTGGTGTTGTGAAACAGAGACAAACTGGTTCCCCAACTGATGTCCCTGTACAGGGTGCTGGATGTACAGCACTGGTGGTGGCTGTGGTGGCCAGGAAGCTGGAGCTCACTAAAGCTGAGAAGCATGTCCACAACTTCATGATGGACACACAACTGACAAAGCGGGTAGGTGCCATGGAGGACAGCAGGAGGGGGGCATTGCTGTGTGCCAGGAGCTGGGGATTTGGGATACCATGGCAGGAGGGAGGTGTCAGTACCTCTGGATCCTGTGGGTACCACAGTGGAAGAAGGTACCAGCATCTCTGAGTGAAGCTACAACAGGAGAGGAAGGTGTTGGCACCTTTGATGTGGGTGCTGCAGGTACCAATGCTGAGGAAGTTGTCCAAGCGCTGTGGATATTGCGCAGGCACAAGTGTTACGCTGAGACAAAGAGGGGCAGCTCTCTTCCAGGGATTTAGGTGATTTTGGGAGCATACTCCCTTCTCTTCCAGAGCATGATCTCCTCTTGGTATGAGGAAGATAACTGGATTTCAGTGATTCAGTGCCCACCACAGATAAGAACCACTCTGTAATGGTCCCCTGAGGAGGGACCCAGAGCCTGCAGTGGGGTGTTCATGGGGTCGCTGTCATACCAGGGGCTGGTGTCACATCTCTGGCAAAGCATCAGCCAGCCAACAGTAGTGTGTCATATAATGGGCTCTGCACACTACAATAAGTTTTAGAGGGGATGGTGGCAAAACTAGCATCAGTGCAGCCCTTGGAAAGGCAACCGGTGGTGGGATGCAAGCAGGGCACCCACTTCACCCTGGAGAGCAGGGCTCCAGACAAAGCCCTGACACCCCAGGAGTAGTCAGGACCTTGGTGTTACCAGGCTGGGAAAGCAAAACAGCTGGTCAGCCCCTGCACTGGCCATTGACATGGCTCTGCAGGCTCCATGACAGGCAGACGGCAGCCAATTCCTCCTGGAGTGAGCAGCCGAGCTGCGGTTTAGCTGGAGAGTCTGCAGAAGCCACGTCCCAACACCGGCAGCACAACTGGGACCTGCCAGGATTGGCAGATGGGTGCAGGAATCAAGAAAAAAGTTGGGATTTTTTTTTTTTTTTTTGAGGCTTACAGTGCAACTTTGTGTGTTGGCAAAGAGCCAAATGCTGGAGCATGAGTGCAGGGATGTGGGTGCACCAGGGGCCAGCAGCTCTGCCATCTCTTACTTCCCCATATCCCCCGGGACAGTCCAGGAGACCGTGTGGGTGCAAAGCCGAGCGCCTCGCTCCAGCTGAAGGAGGTCATGTGCAACGTTGGCTCGTGGCAGAGACAGACCGGTGTCTCTGTGAGATCCCATATGGCTGGTGACCTGCAGCCACTCTTCCTTTTCAGATCAAGAACGCAGCGGCCAACGTCCTGCGTGAAACGTGGCTTATCTACAAGCACACCAAGCTGCTGAAGAAGATCGACCATGCTAAAGTCAGAAAGCACCAGAGGAAATTCCTACAAGCCATCCACCAGTAAGAAGCTGTGCAGTGGGCTGGGGGCAGACTGAGCTCCAGATAAAACAGGATCCTGTCCCTGGCAGGGGTATGGGGGCAGTTTTCCATTGTCCAAGATGCAGGCAGGTCTCTTTGCAGTTTGAAAGAGGGGAGGGAGTACAGCCATGTGCTCTTTCCTTCTCCCCAGGTTACGGAGCGTGAAGATGGAGCAGAGGAAGCTGAGTGACCAAGCCAACACCCTTGTCGACCTCTCAAAGGCAAGTCCCACTGGAACCCTGTGGCTTGGCCAGACTGAGTGTTTCTCTTCACTCGGAATAACTAAAGCAGACTTGGCTGACCGCAAAATGCTCCGACTCAGTAAATGTCAGCAAGGAATAGCTGCTGTGGGATGGCTGCCCTTGCAAAGCAGGAGATACACATTCATGAGCCAGGAGTTCCCTGCAACCCTTTTTGCAAGGGATACCACTGCTCAGCAGCACAGGGCCAGCAGAGTTTTCTCACTTTGATGGCCAGGGATGAGCCAAACTGCAGTCGCAGAACCCTTGGAGAACCTGGGGTGGGCTAAGATGGGGCAGCTCTCAGGTCAGAAAAGGGTAAAGGGGTGAGTTCTGCTAGCAGCAGTGGCACTAACCCCTCCAGCCATGGTACTAACCCGCCACTGTCCCCTCCCCAGATGCAGAACGTGATGTACGACCTCATCACAGAGCTAAATGACCGCAGCGAGGACCTGGAAAAGCAGATCAGTGGCCTGGAATCCAAGCTGGAGCAGCTCAGTGCTAGCTTCAACTCCCTGCCCCTGCTGATGGCTGACATGCTGCGCCAGCAGCAGCAGCGCCTGCTCACCGCCGTCCTGGAGGCCCGGGGGGTTGGTGTGCCAGTGGGCACCCCCCAAACTCCTCTGTCTGAGAGCCCCATTGGGGTCAGCTCCACCTCCTTCCCCACCCCTTACACAAGCTCAAGCAGCTGCTAAAACACAGCCCCTCAGCCCCACCGCGGACAGGGGAAGCATTTCCACATAGATCATGAGGTCTCTGTGAACTTTCTTCTGGTCCTTGAACCGCTGCAGGACCCTTCAGCTGGAGACAGTGGGACCAGCAGTGCCGAGCAACGCTCGGAGCTTTGCCAACGCCTTGGTATCGGGAATTGCATCCCTGTTCAGGTGCCTCTACACGTGGTGAAGGAAGGGGACAGAAGGTGATGCCTTGGGCCAGCCTGTGCCATGGCGTCCGGTGGCAGACGGAAAACCCACGCTCAATCTCAGGTCTTCACATTTGAAAACAAAACAAAACAAAACACCAAGTCAGAAGCACTGAAGCAACAGAGACACCGGAGGGAGAGTTCTTCTCCCTGGGGCACTCCCCTCGTGCCCTGCCCCTCTTACAATTGCCAAACCTCGCCGGGCAGATGCCAGTGTGGGGAGGTTCGTTATGCAGGCTCTGGCTGACGCTGCCTATGCTCCATTCCATCTCCTTGCCAGGACCCACAGGACAGCCCCCTCACACTGACAGCTGGGTGACCATGTCTGACTGTAACCTTCCTGTGGAGTTCTCTGGAGCTGTGAGTGTTTTCTACCCAGAGAAGAACAATGGACACTTCTCTTTCTGGTCCTTAGTGTCGTATCCTGCCTGGAGACACATGCCAGAGCCAGGAAAGCAGTGCCTACAGCGTGCAGGGCCACGCAGAGCTGCCCCCAGCCAATGTGTTGGTGGCCAGTGATGGGGCTGGCAGGCCAGCTCGGGCACTGAGGGAGTCTCCAGGTGCTCACATCACTGCCTGCTGGGAGCCTCCCAGCATTTTGCAAAGCCAGTGGACTCTGTGCAGCAGTCTCAGAAGTGCTGGATGAACACCCCATCAGCTCCAACTGTCTCCACTTGTGCTGGGAACATCCATGCTTGAGCCCAGCTGGCAATGTCAAATCCACCAGGATCAAGCAGGAGCTCACTGGCAAGTGATGTGGTAGCAGGGGCAGGTGCTTCATCTGTTTAAAACAAGGCCCATCGCCTTCATGCCACTTCTGCTGGGTTTGGTGGAGGGCAGCAGCACTCTCTGGCACCGTCTTGGCAATGGCACTGCTGCCCATGCCTGCCAAGGTGCAGACTCCATTTTACTTTTTTGCTGGTGTTCAGCTTCCTGAGGTACCCTTGGCATCACCTGGCTGCTTCTGGAACCAGCCACTTTCTGGTTTGCTTTCACCATTTCTCCCTTTTTCCTCTTCAATTCTTCCCAATGTCATGTTCTGGCTTTCCTGGATCCTTGCGTGGAGCCATGCCAGGCTATGACTTTGGGGTTGGTGTTTGCTGCTTTCCATGAAAACTCAGCAGAGAGTATTTATACATTTTTAAACAGATGAAGTAACTATGTAATTACTCTGCAATATTAATTACACCTCACCCAGCAGTGTCAGTAATTGTAATCAGTCACTGTGTTACTCCAGGTATACTCAGCCTGTACCGCTCTCCTTTGTAACTTTTTCCCTTCCATAAATAATGCTGGATTTTGTGCACATGTAGGGGTAGAGACACACCACCCTCCTGCACCACCACCCCTACACCCCCAATGCTGAATTTCTTTGCTGCCAGTGGTGTGAGGTGGTTTCACTCCTTGTGCCCTGCAGCTGGAGTTGCTTAGAAAATAAGCAGTAGTTAGTGAGGAGTACTGCCCCCACACTGGCCCTAGAAGGAGGAGGAAGGATGCAAAATTAGTACTGCAAAATGAGATCCCTGTGCTGCAGAGGTGTTGGTAGCAGGGGACAAATACAGTCATCCCTGTTGCCTTCAGGTAGGCATGTGCCCATTGCTGCTGGTGCTTGGCAATGGGAGATACCTGGCTTCTGGGAATGAGCTGCTCTTCCAAGCTCTTGTAATCAGTGTCATTGATATCCCATGGATGGCTGGGGATTCACTGCTGCCTTGGGAGCTCCCCATGATCTATTCTCAGCCCACCTGCTGCTCCTGTATGCCTGTGGGTGCCTCCCTGTCCATCTTGCCCAGCAGAAGGTCCTGCTGATCTCTGTCAGGAGTTCCCAGCATAGCAACGGAGAATATGTTAGAAATTCTGAGAAAGAGCCTGAAATGCAGCATTTTCCCTAGCCTGCAGGCAGCTGGTGGAGAAAAATGCTTTCAGGGCCTCAGACCGGAGCAAACTGCCCATGGAATGGTACTGTGCATGGGACAAGGTGTGAAGACGTGTCCGAGGGCATCAGAGAGCCAGAGGAAGCATTGATTCTTCAATATTGCCAGCAGGAACCCAGGAACCTCCCTGCTAGGCACATGACCAAGTCTGGGAAATCCAACCAAGTGAGACAAGAGCAGGTGCTGTCAGCTCCAGGCCCCAAGTCTGGAGGTGGTAAGGACCACAATGAGAGTGTTGGGATTGCAACTGGAGCAAGAGACCCTTGTTCTGGGGCAGAGCAGCTGCTGCTGCACTGGGATATCAACAGGGCTGGGGCAGTGGATCCCTGCGCACCCATAACCTTCCTCCCCTGGCCTCATCTCAGCACAACCTGCACTGCAACAACTCTTCTGCCTGAGACCTGGCAGCCCAGGTTCTGCACCCCCTGCCCTGCACCTTGCACCCTGCATCCCACACACCCCCACACCCCTATCTCACCCCCACCATTCCACACCCCTGAATGCCCATCCCAGTCCCCAAAGCCCATATCCCACCCCTTCACCCACCCCCCTGCCAGTTCTTCAACACTGGTACCAGTAGCCCTGATCCATTGCTGCCAGCACCGGACTCCACCGTGGCCAGGACCAAGCCTAACCCCACTCCAGCCCTGCTGCCATGACCCCAGAGGCACCTGAGGCACAGTGGGGCAGGCATGGTGAGGAGCCCCCAGTGCAGCCCAGCCCGGCGTGCCCACCCAGAGCCGCTCCCTAATGGCAGCTCTTGGTCACCAGCAGTCTTGGTTGGCACAGCCCCAGTGAACAGCTCCAGTAAATGCTCCCCAGCCAGTCCTGTCCACACACCTGAGATGATCCTTTCGAGTACCCTAAGGGACATCGGGACAAACAGAGAGAAGAGCCAAGATCAGCAACCAAGGTGGAGGAAGAGCACAAGAGGAAAATCCCAGAGATGCCGACCTCCTGCAAGCTGGGAAGTATCTGATCCCACAGTTCAATGGGGCCAATCCCCAATGCCCCTCCAGGACCCACCTAACCCAGTCAGTCCCATTTTTGGCACAGTCTTGGGGGCTTTTTTTGCTCCATGCCTCTCCTTCCTGCTCTGCCTGCAAGGAACTATCCTAGGAATACCAGAAAAATTCCACGATCTCTCTGCAAACTCATGGATGTTTCTGTCCAGACTTAAGGAGCTTTGACCTGGGTTTGCATCTTGCCTCTGTACTGCTCGCTTCTTTTTTAATGATAGGGGAAAGCATAATAGTTTATTTTAACTATGAAATATATTGCTATATTATGATGGTTATGGTAACTTTCAATTATGGTTTTGTACCCAACACGGTTGTTAGCAGGCAGCAACACCAGGCTGCTGCCAAAAATGTCTGTTTCTGAGTACAGCTACTACTGCCAGTGAGGATGGGGGACAGGGAGGCAGGGAGAGGTCCAGACCCCGAGTTGTTATCCTTTATCCCCCTTGTACTCATTTCCAGTACTTGGAAGCTGACCTCTAGCAGGTCTGGATCTGTGTGTAGCCCAATGGCACCAGAGCTTTGCATCTCCCTAGAGAAAGGTCAGGCTCCCCTTTTTTTCCAGATTCTGGAAAGCCATTCCCCCCAGGTTGTCTCCTCCAGCAGAAGGAGGGACTCTGCTCCCTGGGCACAAGCTCTGCAAGAGTCAAACTTCCCCTTTTCCTCCAGGACAGAGGCTCTTGAGAAAGCAGTGGTGCAGAGCACATTTTCATAGAATTATGGAATCATTAAGGTTGGAAAAGTCCTCTAAGAACATCAAGTCTAACTATTAACCCAGCACCACCACCAAGCCCACTGCTAACCCACATGCCCAAGTGCCACATACACAAATCTTCTAAATTTCTCCAGGGATGGGGACTCCACTACTGCCTTGGGCAGCCTGTACCAGAGCCTGACCACGCTTACACACAAGAATTTTCCCAATATCCAACCTAAACCTCCTCTGGCACAACTTCCAGGCATTTTCTCTTGTCCTTTCACTTGTTACTTGGGAGAAGAGGCTGGGACATGTCCAGTTCACATTTCACACCCTGCCCTGGGGAGCTGCAGCTGTTGCTCAACCTCAGGATATGATGGCATAGGAGGACAAAACCCTGAGCATGAAAGAGAAATAAGATGAGGTTGCAGGGACTGTTTTGTCTCAGCCTTCCAGCTGGGAACAGGCTGCCCAGAGTTGTGTCTGCCCCATCTCTGGAAATGTTCAAGGCCAGGTTAGATGGGGCTTGGAGCAACCTGGTCTAGTGGAAGGTGTCCCAGACCATGGCACGGGGTGGAATGAGATGAGCTTTAACTCCCTTCCAACCCAAACTATTCTGTGATTCCATGATTCTGTAATTCTATGGACTCCTTGAGCCTCAGAGAGCATCACTTCCTTACCTCCAACCCGTGAGCTGCTGGACCTGATCCTTACTGGATCATAAGTCTTAAACTGCTCTTTGGCAGCCACACTTTGTCCTGGCCAGTCTTCACAGAGCATGATGTGTCTGGAAATGAGCAGCACCTATGGAACCAATTCCTGCTGCTTTTGTCCAGAGAAAGCCTAGAAGTCCCTACACTGGCCCTTCCCGATCAAAGCTGCAGTCACTGCCATGCTGTCACTGTTACCACTCTCAGAGCTGTGCTGGTCTCACCCTTCCAGACCAGTCCAACCCAGTAGAACCCTAGCAGCAGTGAGCTGCCATGAGATCTGGATGCTCCTTGCTGGACCCCAGACCTGAAATCTCCCTGCAGAAACCAGCTCTGATGGAGGAAAGGGGCTGGTTCTTCTGAGAGGCCAGGGCTGAGCCTCTGCTGCTGCCAGATAGGTCTGGGGCTGCCAGGGGATTCCTGGTCCTCTGCACCACTCTCCCTTGGGCTTCTCCTGCCCAGCATCTCCCAGGCAGCTCAGAGCCCTGTGCCTTGGCCACCAGGTATGTTTGGTGGGGGCGATGGCGGTGATTGCTCAGCAGTTTGGGAAGATTCTGCTGCCAGGCTCTGTACTGCTCTGAGTTTCTTCTCACCTAACTCCAAGCTCCCTCTTAAAAGGTATCCAAATGGTTCAAGGTTGTAGAGAGGGGATTTTGCAGGAGAGAGAAAAAGCTTCTCCATGGCATTAGTTATTTCCCTATGGGATGAGCCACCTCAGAGCCCCATGAGGCACCAGGCAGGGCTCCAGAACCACCTGCCCAGTGGGTGCTCTTGGCTGGGGGCCCTGGTGCTCTGTGCACCCAGCTCTGCTTCTTCTTCCGTCCAAAGTGTTCTTCCCCCGCTGGGGTCTCAGCACTGCCGATGCACCTTCCAGTGGGAGCTGCTTGCATGTCTCTGTGCTCAGGATCCAGTCCTGGGCTTTCCTTCCTCCTTCAGGGCCGGTCTCTCAGCTGGAGGACAGGAGTGGGGACTAGCCCATATAACAACAGCCCATCCCCACAGCATTGCCATAAACCCAAGCTGTACCCAGAAACAGGCATGTTTTAAACTATGGCTTTAACCTGTTCACTGTAAAAAGTGCCTTGGACTTTAATCTGAAGAGGTCACTATCTAGAAGTATTTACCTGTGCGGGTGTGTAAGGATGCAGCTCTCTGTGCAGCGTCACACACACAAATATATGATCTATACATACAGCTATCAGTGCCTCAGACCCTCTGTTCCACAAGCCGTGAGAGCTCTTTTCTTTCTGCCCTGGGGGCCAACAGTGGAGTGATGTTGGAGGCATTCCTGACACAGAGACCCCTTGCTGAAGTGAAACTGTGCCATGAAGGTTGTGCTGGGTGCAGTGATTCCCCTCAGCAGCGCTGAGCTGTCCTGTTCATCCCTGGGAAGCTGCTTGGTGCTCCTCAGGGTGCATCTGTGCAGTTTGGGAAGACCACAGGGAAGGGGATACACCCCTGTTCCCTTGTGCTGAGACTGGGTCACATCTCTGGACCTCCCCATGCCAGGAGCTGCTTGGCACTTTGTAAAACCAAGGGGAACCCCCAGATGCCTTGTTTTACGGGGGTGATGAGGGGCTTTCCTGGTCCCAAAAAGGATTTTTGGTTCCCATGTTCTTGGGCTGTGGCTCAAGAAAGGAGTGTAGGAGGTTGGTGGCATGGCTGATGCTTTTTCCTCTGTCTCTGCATTGAGGCTCCCCATGCTCACCCATCTCTGCTCAAACATCAGAGCTGAGCTGCTCCCTCCAGTTCATCCCTCACCTCTAAAAAAACAAGGATGAAAGCTTTCTGGGGTGCAAAGGGCACACAAATAACTTTCCCAAAGTGAATGCATTGGTTGAAATAAGGGGAAGCTGGATCCTTTCCCAATAAGCACCACTCTGAGCCTAGCAATGGGGCACTGCTGGCTTCAGCTCACTCTGAAGATGGCAGGCTGAGGGATTTACACCCCAAATACCATCCTTATATGAGGGCTAGGAGGATGCCAACAGAAACAACTCCCCTAGCTAAGCACGGTGTCCTGGAGCCAGCAGAGAAGGGGATGTACAGTAGTTGAATTGTGATGAATCAATAAACCAGTTTTTTTTAGTTTTGAGCTAATACCTCTAAATCCTAAAAATAACTCCAGCAGTCCAGGGGGTTCTCTGATAGGTGATTAAACTCTTGGAGCTTCATTTCCAGGATTAATGGCTTAGAGCAGCAGAGCCCTGCTGTACAAAGGCAGCTGTAGTTCTGATACTGCCCATGAAGGCAAGGCAAAATATGTTAATCTTTATGTGCAGCATGAAATCTGTTTAAATTAATAGCTCCGGATTAAAGTTTCTGTGAACAGAAAGGCAATCATGGCCATAGCGTGGATCTCCACCTGCCTGTGTCTGCCCTTTGCTTTCCCAGTCCCAGGAGTGAGAGGAAGGAAGAGGAGGATGCCCTTGGTGTGAAGATCTGGGCACCTTTCCCCAGGCCAGTGCAATGTGCCTGCATCAGCGCTGGAATGTGCAGTGACAGGAGGGGAGGAGCACTTCCAAAGAAAAGAGGAAAAAAAGCGGGGAAGAAAAAAAAAAAAAAAGCTGTTGTTTTGCTAAACAGGTCCTTACACATAGAACTTTTAAAAACAGTGAGGAACTACTGGCCTTCCACAAGGCAGAGGAAAATCCCAAGCAAAAAGGCTCCACAGGGCACAGGTTTGAATCAGCATCTGCCTGCTGGGAGTGAGCAGGACGTGGGAGGCAACTCCTGAGGGCAAGGGAGGGGCAGGCAGGGAACAGGGGCTTTGGATCAGGCTTTGACTTTGCAGGCAGGCAAGTGCTCTGGTGCTGAGCTACAGCTTCGAAATGACTCTAAATGCTGGCATTTCCCCAGTCAGGAGCTGGGAGTCTCACTCCCTACAGAGACGCTTTTGCTTCCTAGGGGATGGGGTGGGTGGTGAATGAGGAGGAGATGTGGCTTCCAGCTGGGCAACCCAGATCTGGTCCCCAGCTCTTGAACCCAGGAAGAAAAACATTCAGGAAACCCTCTTCTGCACTTGCTGCAGAGATAAAATGAGGTGGGGACCTGTCCTGTAGCTATTTCCATCTCAGATGTGCTGCTCCTTTTCCGAGGTAAAATTGAGGCAGCTCTGCTACTAATTCATCTACCCAGCCTTGATACTCCTGGCACCAAGGGACTCATTCATTACTGTTAATTATCAGCGCAGTGGTGTGAGGTCTGCAGGCCAGATCACACCTTCCAAGCAGTGTGGTAATATCAGCCAAACAGCTGGGCACCACGAAAACAGCTCCTGAGCCCTCATAAGCCCAGACAGGAATGCTCCAGGCCATTCCAATGGGATTAGTTAATTACTGGAGCCTGTGGCAGTGCCAGGTCCCCTGCCCAGGGTGGAGAGCAGAGCTGGGACTGTATGCAAGGGCTGGGAGAATGCTTTTTACCTTCTGGGCTTCCTCCTGAGTCACAGCGTTTGCACATCAGCTTCCTCTTCTCTCCCTGTAATTCCTGAGAGCAAAGGAAGGAGCTGCCTGATGAGAAGCCAACCTAGTGTTAATAGCATCTGTGTCCCTTTGCAGATGGAAGAAGTCATCTCGGTTTCCTAGAGGCTGCTGGCCTGGTGCTCCCACCATAAGAAAGGTTTTTCCGCACGGATGGGCTAGAAAAATGACACTTTGCTTCTTAAATTATTCTTTTGGGGTTTTCTGCTGGGGACCAGTCACCGTGTTGGAACAACAGCAGCCATCACAAGCCAGTTGGTGGTGGGGGTTTTGCTACAAAACCTGCAGACAAGCTGTCACTTCATCCATGATGACATTTCAATAGAACTAGCAACACAGGGCCAAGAGTGGGGTCCAACTTCTAGGTCTGCAGGGGAGAAGCTGTGAGG